CAACTCTGCTATGCACTCGCTAATTAAATCTGTATCGGTTTATTTTAACGGTCAACAAGTAGAACAAAATCCTCTGTATAACTTTTCGTCCTATGTTCGCTTAGAACGGGTATGTCTCCTTCGCTGAAAAAAACTTTAGGAAGAAATATGTATTATTATGATAGTTCTAGCATACCGAGGACCTACATAAAGAAATATTTACGAATGCTAGCACGCAAGAGAAATCTGCTATGAGCGAGGTTAAGACTCACGGATTTCATTTTATGGCTCCGTTATTGTTAGATATAGCATCAATGGATATGTATCTTTTAGACAATGTGTCTATGAGAATACGACTGGAATTTGCCTCTGACAAGTTTGTTATTAACGCCGAACCGGAAGCGAGTAGTTCGAATCCTAAGGTGGAGATAGAAACTTGTAAATTGCATTTAACCACACTAAAACCCCGGGATTCAGCAAGGGAGGCTCTTAACAAATCTTTGCTTCGTAGTCCTCTTAGCTATATATTCAATAAAACGCTATACAAAACTTATGTCATGGCAAGTAACCAAACCCAGCTGAGCATTGATATGCCCTGGGGATCAACGATTCCCGAAAAGTTAGCTCTTTTTATGGTGGACATGAAAGCATATGCAGGAAATTACAGCGAAAATCCATTGCACTTTGGTCATAATCATTTGAGCAAGCTTTCGGTTATTGTTAATAACAACTCTGTGTACAATATAAGTACGAGTTTTCCGAGTCGTTGCTCAGATTTGTATTATCACTCGCTGAATGCGTTGGGGTTGGAAAAAGAACATTCACTCGACAGAGATGGATTTGTGAATGGAAAAATGGTAGCAGTTTTGGATTTGCAACCAGAAAAGCTACAAGACGCAATTGCTATTGAAAACTCTGGAAGCCTTAGGATTGCCGTTGAATTGTCACAACCTCACGACTCGAACATTGTTTTATTTTTGGTAGGCGATACACAGGGTGTGATGTATGTTGATAGTGATCGAAGGGTAGTTACAGATATTCGCGCATAATGAATTGTGGTGAGGTTGCAGACGTTTGTAGACAGTTTCTCAGAGGTGGATATGTGTTGCGAGGGTGTTTCTTGGCCGATCAACTGCCCATTAGAAAAGATCGTACAACATATAATGAATTTTTTGTGGTTAACATACTTACCTCTCGGCACAGACCAACATTAATGGGTCATTATGTATTAGTAGTTGTTGGGAAATATTGTATTGCCTACTTTGATTCCTACGGAATCAAGCCTCATATTTATTCTCCTTGGTTGCAAAGATTTATCGACCAGTATTATGATAAGAGCTTCCTTGACATTGGTAGACATTTGCAAAGCATTGATAGTTTAACATGCGGTGCCTATGCGATCTTTATCATGTACCATATTAATTTGCATGGAATAGATTATATTGTTAATTTTCTGCGCTTTTATTTTTCACAGAATGATTTTAGATATAATGACAGAAAAGTTATTAGATTTTTGTATAGAAACTTTAAAATGCCTCGGTGTGAAAGGTTGTTTTGTAACGAATCACTCAGTAAAAAGGAATGTGAGCGAATGTTTTGCGGAATAGGTAATTAAGTACAGACCTCACCCCTTCACCCCTCCCCTCGTGTTTTAAGAGGTTGGGATTGGTGGGATGGTCTGCTGGTTCTCAGATCTTGTCGTATAAAAGGCGTTCGATTCTGAAGGGTGATACAGTGTTTTTCTTAAGCATACCAAGATGAACTCAACCTTTATGAAGAATACCTCGCTGCCAGGTAAAACATTTCTTTGTTTTTCTCGTAAAAACTCGGTGTTTGACTTGTATTATAACTATGAACATTTTTTGATATTTTGTGTTGTTTTTTAGATGTTGAAGGGTAATTCATTGGTGTTTTTTATTTACAGGTGTTGCTGTTGGAAGTACAATAGCAATTTTTCATTGGGATGGGTCTGCTAACGAATACACCTTTTACAAAGGTGAGTCTCTGAAAACTTGAACTTTTTTAACTTTATCAGATATATGTATTTTCATTTGTACTGTTGCCATTGTAAATCTCGATGTGTTAATATGTTTCTCTGTTGTAGTCATTGCAAATCCTAGTGTGTTCATGTGTTACTTTCTGTTGCAGCTTTTGAGGATGGTGCCGATGCATGCGTCATTGTTTTACATAAGCAGAGTGTGCGGTCGCAGTCGGTATTATCCCCGAGAAAAAGAAGAAGGTCTCTCCAGTGGAAGCCAGCACCTCCGGGACGACAGCGGAGAGAGCTGACACTTTCGCGGAACCGAAGGAGGCAGCAGACGCGTCATTACCCATGTGTCACTGTGTGACGTCTTGTTGTATATCGCCTGTGTGGGATGAACCCTCACCTTCCAGCCCTCAATGCCGCTTTCGGGGAACCTGAAGAGAACCGAGATGTGTCACCCTCTTACATGTCGCCTGCGAGGGTCGAGTCCTGCTCTCGCGTTATTTTGCCTGCTGTGAGCCCTACGTCGCCTGCATACCGTCCCACGGGAAATAGCGAAGCTATTCCGTTTGTGGACATTTCAAGCGATGAGGACGATGAAGAGATTGGGTTGGTGCGGAAAGATTTTCCCCTCCTGCATCGCCGTCTATTTCAGATGAGATCCCACTCATAGAAATTTCAAGTGGTGATTCCATTCAAATTATATCCCCCTGCCCGTCGCCTCCTCTGAATTTTGGCCTTACGCAAAATATGCCTGATGAGGACATAAATCTGTCGCAAGCGATAGATCTGTCCTTCTGGGGGCCTTCATAGAACAATGTATGTGTGTGTGTTACACTATTTTTTTTTTTTTTTTTGAAAATGTATTATTAATATTCTTTGTATGTTAATAAAAATAAAGACATATTGAGTACAACGAATTTTATACTCCTTTCCGCTGAACTCTATACTTATAAACGAGGTGCTTTTCGATTGTGGGGAACAAACTGTGAATATCTGATTAATTAGTGTCTGTGCCTGACTTCTGAGGGGATAACTTTATTATTGAGATGTTTTAAGACAATGTAGGCCATCCCACATGTTTCAAACATGACGAATAGATGCTGTTATTGATTTCGCTGACCTGACTCACATCGGTAATGGCTTAATTTTGCGCGTGACCTGGAGGGCGGTGGGAATGAAGGGGTGGGGACTTGGGTGGTTGGGGGACACCTGTTTGGTGTGCGTATTATTCCCCATTAGCCACGGTTATTGATTTCCCGTAATCAATTATGATAATTACTTCCGGAAGTCATTAGGTCACTTCCTGTTATGACACGTCAGGTATGTGCATAGCGGGATAAGAGGGTAGTCATAGGGTGAGGCTGGTGAGTCCAAGGTGTTTTTGGGTGAGGGGGTTGGGGTGGTGGAACCTGTGACACCTGCTCTTAGGATGATAGTTTGACCTGCGGCAGCAGGATCCATGTTTGTTTGTTGTTCCTCTTCTTCTTCTTCTTCTTCTTCTTCTCTTCTTCCTCTTTCTCGTATTCTCCTTATTATTATTATTATTATTATTGTTGTTTTGGAGAGGAAAGGAATGGGGGGGCACCCCTTCAGGTGTGCGTGTTCTCCATCATTAGTCACGGTTATTGATTCCCGTATCGATTACGGTAATTACTTCCGGAAGTCATTAGGGCACTTCCTGTTATGACACGTTAGGTACATAGGGGGGGACCCATGGGGGTGAGGCTGCTGTGTCCAAGGTGTTTTTGGGTGAGGGGTTGGGGTATTGGAACCTGTGACACCTGCTCTTAGGATGATAGTTTGACCTGCGGCAACAGGATCCATGTTTGTTTGTTGTTCCTCTTCTTCTTCTTCTCTCTTTCTTCTTCCTCTTTCTCGTATTCTCATTATTATTATTGTTGTTTTGGAGAGGAAAGGGAGGGGGGCACCCCTTCAGGTGTGCGTGTTCTCCATCATTAGTCAAGGTTACTGATTTCCCGTAATCGATTACGGTAATTACTTCCGGAAGTCATTAGGTCACTTCCTGTTATGACACGTTAGGTACATAGGGGGGGACCCATGGGGGTGAGGCTATTCTGTCCATATAATCACTACTTATATATATATATATATATATATATATATTATATATATATATATATATATATATACATATATACATATATATATATATATATATATATATATATATATATATACATTATTATATATATATAATATATATATATATACATATATATATATAATATATATATATATATATATATATATACTACATGCGTGTATATATATATATATATATAATATATATATTATATATACGTATATTGTAATGAAACGTTTATTTATTCATTCCTGCTCTTTGGCCATGTAAAACAGCGCTTTGCTACAACAGGTGTAAATATGAAAATGAAGAATAGTTTCCACATTTTATTATCTATATTACTCGTATACTGGAATAACATGGATATAATAACATCTACAGAGAAACATTGAATAAACAATATTCGGCAATTAAATTGCATGGTAGACTTCTACAAAAGTGCTTGTCTTCGATTGTTAACAAGTGTTTCGATTAACTATTCATAACAATTCTCACTACAGGGCTTAGACTATGGGAAATTTAGGGGATAGGGAACTATAGAAAATAACACTTATATTAAAAGATATGTCCATAGTAAATGAGGGAACTTTACTCAGGGAAAGGTTTGTTCATGACGGAAAAATATCTCGTCAACTATAAACAAAAACGCTTGAGATTTTTTTAAATAATGAATAAACACATCCACCCTGCCATAAGCTGCCAACATGACATTAGGGATAATGAATTTCCTAAAAGCACCATATTATCCCTAAGAATGTTCAGCGTTTTTAAATCATAACTCATACTTGTACTTTGGTCCCTCTTATAGCAGAGGATACAGTAAATAAAACATCAGTACTGAAGAGGGGAGGGATAATATCATACATGCATATAATATATATATATATATATATATATATATATATATATATATATATATATATATATATATATATATATATATATATATATATGCCTTCATTTACGTTAGGGAACAACAGCTGTGAGCACAAAAGACAGAAGCAAGTGCTCTTACAAAAACAATATCATCTTATAAAAATAGATCTATCTAACAACAATCTGAATCGAAGTATATAAAATTTCTAGCCTATATAACTATAACTATAAATTCCGTCGTCCAACATTGGCGACTCCGAGACCTGGCGGTGAATCGAAGCTTCAAATCCTGAAGTGATCCGGATTCGTCTTATTCGCACAGACGACACCACCGACCCCTAAAACCCGCCTTGTGTCTTTTTCGCTTCTTTAACACGCAAGTCGCTGATAAAATGGAAGTCAAAAATATAGAGTACCAAGCAATGTTCCCTCTATTCTTTCATTGAATCTTCTGTTACAGGGGGAGGTATTTCGATGCCTTTTTTCTTGCACATGTCCATGATCAGCTGACCGCAGCGCGGGTAGCCGAAGCACCGAGCGTCGTCAAGGGGCGTTCTGTCCCAGCGATCCTGAGGGAGGTGGAGAAGATGCCGTTAAGTTGGATAGAGAGGGAGAGAGAGGGGGGGAGGGGAAGAGGAGAAGAGAGAAGAGGAAGAGAGAGAGAGAGAGAGAGAGAGAGAGAGAGAGAAGAGAGAGAGAGAGAGAGAGAGAGAGAGAGAGAGAGAGAGAGAGAGAGAGAGGAGAGGAGGGAGAGAGGGAGTTCGAGAGAGAGAAAGGAGGGGAAGGGAGAGAGAGAGAAGAGTAAGGAGGAGAGAGAGAGGGAGGAAGAGAGAGAGAGAGTGAGAGAGAGAGAAGAGAGAGAGAGAGAGAGAGAGAGAGAGAGAGAGAGAGAGAGAGAGAGAGAGAGGGAGAGAGAGAGAGAGAGAGAGAGAGAGAGAGAGAGAGAGAGAGAGAGAGAGAAGAGAGAGAGAGAGAGAAGAGAGAGAGAGAGAGAGAGAGAGAGAGGAGAGGGAGGGAGGAGAAAGAGGGGGGGGAAAGGAGGGAGAGGGGGGGGGAGAAGGAGGAGAGAGGGGAGGAAGGAGGGAAGGAGAGGAGGGAGAGGGGGAGGGAGGGAGGGAGGAGGGAGGGGGAGGGAGGGAGGGAGGAGGAGAAGAGAGGAGAGGAAGAGGGAGGAGAGGAGAGAGAGGAGAGAACGAGATGAGAGAGAGATATAATCAGGAGAGATAAATAACTGGTAAAACTATTACCAATGTTATTGCTATCCTAACGTTACTATATCACAATAGTCAATATGCATGAAATTCAAACATATCAATTCCATTAACTTCCCCGTTTTAGGCAATAATCCCAAAAATTCCAAGCGAAATCACACTATCCTATTCTACCCCCCAAAAAAGTTAATGAAAAAAAAAAAAAAATCCTTGAAATGAGCTTCTTCAGGACAAGAGAACCCCATTCCCACGGCCCTGACCTTGGGTAATGGGTTGACCTGGCAGTTCTTGAGGAGGTACTCGACGATCTCGAGGTGGCCTCAGACGTCGCCACGTGGAGCCGTTCGTCCGTCGTAGTCCTTGGCCTCCATGTTCGTGCCCGAGAGCGAGTGTCTGCGGAGGATGAGGGGCGAGGATGACTTGGAGGATTAGAACGAGGGGTTTGTATGGGATGACATGCTCGATGGAAGGTAATTTCGGCACTGCCTGATAAAATGCGTTTATTAATGTGCGCCCGAAAATGTGTTTTTGTATTTGCCCGAAAAAAATGTTTATTAATGTGCAGCTAAAGATAATTTCTTTATTGCCCGAAAAAATGCATTTATTAATGTGCGGCCAAAGATGTATTTCCTTATTTGCCCGAAAAAAAAAAAAAATGTTTATTAATGTGCAGGCAAAGATAATTTCTTTATTGCTCGAACAATGCGATTATTAATGTGAGGCCAAAGAATATTTCCTTATTTGCCCGAAAAAAAAAAAAATGTTTATTAATGTGCAGGCAAAGATAATTTCTTTATTGCTCGAACAATGCGATTATTAATGTGAGGCCAAAGATGTATTTCCTTATTTGCCCGAAAAAAATGTGTTTATTAATAGGCAGCTAAAAATACTTTTATTGCCTAAAAAGTGCGTTAATGTGTGTCTGACGGTGTCTTTCTGTATTTGCCCGAAAAATGTGTTTATTAAAGTGCAGCCAAAGATAATTTATTTATTCCCGAAAACACGTTTATTAACGAGCGCCCAAAGATATTTTCTGCACTGCACCCTCCCCCCAAATGCGTCTAATATTGTACACCGATAATTTGTATATCTGTATTACCCGAAAACTGTGGTTAATTAAAGGTTTTGTTCCTTTCATTAATACATGTCGATACTTACTGATCAGAGCTTAACCTTAAAAAACTTTTGATGAACGCATATTCGGGTAGGTGCCCTTGTATTATCTGCCGTCTTTAATAATCTATCATTGTGAGTCTATGTGGAAAATCAGTTTCGCAATCCCAAGCGTTTGATATTGTAATGAATGTTAAATTTTCCATGTTCATTGCATATTGATATCTGCAAGATTCCTTCTCTTCCCACCTCCTGAGAGCAGACAGATCCCCAGCAGCGGCGGAGAAGAGGAGGTCGAACAGAATCTGCGCCCTGGACTCTGCTTTGGCCATGCGGGGGTCAGTCTTGGTGGTTATGTGGTTGCGGAGGTTGTCGAAGTTGTGGAAGGTGAATCTCGATACGAGTTCCTGGGGAGGGAGATGCACCATTAGATCTCCTATTATCACACACATAACTTCCATGGCCCTTCCTACCCAGCGGCCCTTGGTCGTCACAGAGGCAACAATCAAGGCCTCCTCTTTTTTCCAGCATCGTCACGCTTACTATATTCCCTGTCATACAACCAAGGCATAAGTACACTCACCCCAATCACATATATTAAAGACACCAAACTTACATTCTTCGCTGCTCAGCATACGTCGAGGATCGTCCCACTTACCATGCAGAACTGAACTCCTCGGCAGGAGTTCCCGTTGGAGTCGAGGGGCGGCGACCAAAGGCAGATGCCCATGGTGTTGGGGACGACCAGCAGCACGCAGCCTGACACGCCGGATTTGGAAGGGAGTCCAACCTGAGCGGCGAAGAGAGGTCCACAGTCTATCAATTGCTAGGTAACAGGAAACGATCCTTTGGTACCCAGTTGCTTATTGTGGAAATGAAGAGACTATCAAGGCAGGTAACCGGAAAGCATCCTTAGGTACCCAGTTGTTTAACAAAAAGTTCATACATTGCTCAGTGCCCAGTTTATCATGGAGGCTAAGAGACTATCAACAGCCAGCCGACAGGAAACAGTTTATTACGCACCCAGTACTTTCACTCTACCTTCATCATACCCAAAACAAACAAACAGACGTCACGATGTCAACCATACTTTTGCCCAGCGACTGCCCCAGGGTCTAACCTTGAATGCGAACTGCCCCGAGTAATTGTACATGCCGCAGGAGTGCATCAAAGTCAGGGTATTTCTCACGGCTTCCACGGTCAGCACAGGGTCCCCGGTGAGTGGGTTGATGCCGCCATTGGCCAGGGTCGCCGCCATGACCGCGCCCGCCTCCGCCGTGATCTCCAGCGAACACAGCTGAAGAAACGAGGCGCTCAGTGCCAGGAGCTTTCTAACGCCCGGAATTCATTTATTCATTCATTTATCCTCATCAGTATAATGATATTAATGATTAATAATCATAACAATAATAATAATAATAACAATAATATTTTTTGGGGGTTGTCAATATTAATAGAGCAGTTGATGGCTTCAGAGACAAGTTTAGGGTTGATTTTCAAATCGAAATCAGGTAGCGTTAGATGAGAATTTACATGTGTATGATGAATCCACTATACGCTAAAAAGGAAAGTAAAGAAAAAAGTAGAAAGAAAAGTGTCTGAGTACCATAATCCGAAAACAAGCAAATTAGACTCTCCTGGCCGACAAAATTGTCCGAGGCTAGACACAATAAATATATGGACATGCATATACACGGAAATATATGTATATGTATCATTAGAGTTGCATGTCTACCAGAGAAATAGATAGATGTATATTTATCGGATAGACAGACGTGCATTAATTTCTGTATATATGCATGTTCGTATTTATTTTTTTATTTTCAGAGGGGGACTAAAGCGTAATCTTATACAACGAACAGAACCGCACTCCTCACGAACACAGACCTGGAAGTAAAAATCGAGGGTCTCGTGAAGCTTCGTGTTCGGAGGGAAGCACTTGTTCTCCCTCATGAAGTAGGCGAGAGCGAAGTTCCGGTCGGCGCACTTCCTCTCGCTCAGGAAGACGCCGTTGTTGAAGCCGAGGTACTCTCCCCCGGCCAGGCGCTTGTACATGTGGAACACCTGGGAAGCGTGAAGCGTTAATGACGCTTATTGTTGTGTGTAAGTGGTTCTTGTTTTGTTTATGTATTTATTTATTTATCTATCTGTTAGTTTATACCAGGGTATAATATTTGGCTGCGTTATATCAGTGATACTATTCGTGTCTGATATGCGCATCTTCGTCACACACCATGCTAGAGTTCAATAATCTAAAATCACACGTTTTGTTTTGGGTGCAATCTGTTGAAATAGAAGTGTAAAGTGAGGGTATCTCAGGACAGTAGGCCCCGCGTCTGAAGAGTGCTGGA